TTGGCTGGTTTCACCTCAGAGTGTTCTTGCTGTGCTCCTCAGGTCCCCTGATTTGCAGATCCCTCATATCCCTGTGCTTTGTTTGGCTGGAGTTGCCAGGAGCTTCCTCCGTTTCCTACCCTTGCCTGCATGATCCATCTCACTGTACAATGGCGTTGCCAGCTGCTGGCTGCCTCCTTCCCATTGCTCTTTGCAGCTTGGTCCCTACTTTGTTTGCCTTGGCTGTTTGATGAAAGACGTTCCTGTGTAATTAAATACCCCTGATTAGTTTTGCTCAAATATCAAACTTCCTTTCATCTCGTCTTGCACCGGCTGAAGGTCTCGGCAGGCTTGGCCAGGTGTGCCGCAGTGCATTGGCTCTTTGTATCCTTTGAGAGCCTTATCCCAGGGCTTTGGCAGTGTCCACACGTGGGTACACACCAGCACCGACACGCATGTGTGCACGCACATCCTTTTAGTATCGCAGCCTCCGGAAGGATCACGTCCAAGTCATTCGTGTGGATCTGAGCCAAGTAACTCAAAAGTCGGAGTTACAGGTTCTCTCCCTAACTGGCTCCATTGTGAAAGCCATAAAACAAAAACAACCTTGGGCCAAGCCAGTGAAGGTGGAAGCGGCTGCTCCCACAGGGCTCACTTTGCTTTGTTCAGGGAGGGAGATGGGTTTCACTCAGCGGTTTGGAGGCTGGCTCCAAGAATCCTGCTCCGGTGTGGGCTCACCAGTCAAGGCAGTGGGGCTGGGAGGTGAGGATGAGTTATACAAGGATAAAAACCTCTTGCAGAATCGCACCCAAGAGTGTAGACAGTGTGTGAATCCTGCTTACTGGGCTGTCTGGAGGCAACTCTGTGCCTGGCATCTGTAGGAGCTCACATGGTCATTGTCTCTCTGGAGAAGGCTGTGGTGCATGACCCACACTGGCTTGTTTCCTGCTCCCTGCAGAGGAGCGGAGAAGTTGCAGGAAAAGCTCCTCTGGTGACCAAAGGGCTGGAGTAGCTTTTGTCATGGAGAAGGTAACTGCATGTTGTGTCCTAACCCTGGAGGAGAGCTGCCTTCAGAGGGAAACGTTAGATTGGGGCTGCACTGAAGCAGGCGAGTGAGAAATGGCAGCTCGTGCTGGGGGATGCTGTGTGAAGCTGCACCAGAAGCAAGGTCCTTCCCCATGGGTACACCAGGGAGCCCACAGCCACAGGGAAATCAGGAATGCAGATGGGCACCATCCATTAAATGAATCGTTGACCACAAGGATGAGGATGTGCCATCTGGCAGGCTCCAAACACCAGCTCGCCAGAAGCTGGGTGGGCTCTGTGTCTTTCCCAGCCTGCCCTGTCCTTACGGACACCGCCGAGGACAGGGCAGGGAGCTCGCACGTTCTCCCCACCCGGCGTGGTGTGACGTGCCAGCCCAGCAATACTTAAAACTGCCCACAAGAGTCACTGTTGCTTTATCTAAGGAGCCTCCCTTCCTCCTGCCTGGGAGCTGCCTGATTTCTTCACCTCCCCGCGGTTCAGGTCTCCATCCGTGATGCTTTTCTTGGTGCCCCTGAAAACCACGGGCTGAGGAGGAGGAGGATGAAGGAGGGTTGGCACCTCGCACGAGCGACCTTTCCCATGTGCCACTCCACAGGGGTTACATCCGTGCCCGATTCCCAGCAGACAGCCCTCACCTTCCCCGCCTGTGCCGCAGCGCTTGTGCTCGGCTCGGTGATTTGCCCAGGGAGCACAGCGTGTGCTTCGGAGACATGTGGCCCGAATTAACCTCCCTGCAAACGGTTTCTAAGTAACAGCAGTACATGTAGCAAGATAAACTGTGAAGCCTATTTATATTTACCGAGATTGTATTAACCTTTGAAAGGTTGACCTTATGCAAAAACAAAACAAAACAAAAAAAAAGATAAAGTGGCAAAAACATTCAGGGCATGAGGGGGTTTGTTGTTGTTTTAATCCTTTCACTCTTTGATTACCTCAGCCTGGGTGGTGGTAAACATACACCAGCTTTCAAGGCATTCCTGATTTTTGCAGCTGCAGAGCCATTAAGCCTTTGCCTGTATTAGCACTTTCAAGGTCAGCCATGATGCACAACTCAAGGCAACCCATCAGCTGCATTAGAGCTGCTAATTTCCTTCATTTACGCTCCTTTTTTCCGAGAACTTGAGCGGCAGATCCAGCAGCAGCGTGTCAAAGTCCCGCATTGTTCCTGGATGTCACCCAGGCTGACGTGGGGAGAGCAGAGGTCGCTGTAGCTGGGCTGGCCCCAAGGGACAATCCATGACCCCTTGTTGGGAACCATCCCCATGCATGCTTGTCACCCCAGCGATTTCTCTGTGTTAGAGCCTCTGTTGGAATTGGAATAAACAAACAAATAACCAGAATGTGTCTGTTGGGCACAGTGACCCGTCAGAGCTTGTTCGCACAAAGCTGAAGCCCTGGAAGGAAATCTGTCCGACGGGGTCTCTGCGGGGTTTGCTGCCTGCTGTGGCACCACACGGCGCTGGGGCCGGTGATGAAAGCTCTCTGTGTGCAACATGAAGGGATGCAGGAACGTGTGAGGAGCTGGGGCTGACAAACAGGTGTTGGATGCTGCTGGATGGACCTTACCTGTGTGTCCGGAGATGGATGCTCTGGAGCATTCGGCACAGCATTATCCCACTCCTTGTTTCTCATGCCTCCCTCCCTGCACAGGTGGGCAGATGTCACTGCAACTCTGTGCCTCAGTTTCCCTCACCGTTAAAGGCAGGTGAATGCTGTTTGCACCAAGATGAGCAGTGAGGTGTAGCTCAGCCAGTCACCTGCGACCCCCTTTGAGGCTCCTCCATGGATGCCCCACATAGGCAGAAACAAAAGGTGGTGCTGTTGTGTGATCCAGAGGGGAAAAGCCTTTGGCAGCAGCAGTAGTTATAAACATGTCTAACAAGGTGGCCTTTGGGCTTCATAGTGCAGCCCACAACAGCAGTGGGTCTCTCATAAAAATATGTCAAACAAGAGCAAAGGCAGAAAGTGCCCCGTGCATGGGTTTATTTGGTTTTTCCTCCCCCAGTGATCAATGCCACTTTGATTCCTGAAACAGAAGCAAAGGATGTAGCTTGCTACTCAAGCCCTCAGTCAGAAAACCGTTTGTGGATCCACGTGTCAGGTCTGCAGGAGCCTCCAGCTCCGTCACTTGGCTGTGCCTTCTGCTGATGTGGGTGCTGCCTGGAATCGGGAGTGCACAGGGATTCGGTGTGGCTCTAGCTGGGGACATGGGAGCTTGTTCCCTGCTGGTAGCTGGTGTTTTCCATTGATATGAGCATTGCTTGCTAGCACTGCCTTGGAAATCAAAGTCTGTTTTTGCATCAAAGGGTTGAAGGCAGAGGCAAAGGGAATGAAGACGTGGTGCAGCTCAGGCAGTGATCAGGGACTCTGTGTTCGTCCCTTACCTGAAGAATCAAGCCTGATGAGTTTCTTCCTTGATAAACTAAAAAGAGGCCACAAAGCTGAATGTGACAGTGCTGTGCTGGAGAAAGGGTTATCCCTGTCCTAAATCCTGCTGCCTTTCCTCTAGCAGCTGTGCTTGATTTCTGAGGTGGTCCTGGTTGAAGGCCCCCTCACCCAAGGCTGCTCACGTGCCTGTGGGATGGATCCCCCAGCATGCTGCCAGCACAGAGGTGCAGCCTCAGCAGTGGGCTGGAGGGACCTGTGTTTCCCAGGACAGCGCTTGCTGTGGGATCATTGTCATTCTTGTGTGTGCCAGTGCATGGTTCAGTGGTGTAACCAGAAGAGAGTTAAAAAAGGGAAAAATGTGGATGCTTTCTGCGATGTTCTCCATCCCTAAATTTAGCCAGGACTGCCCCCACTTCCTCTCTCAGTGAGCTGAACCCTCTGCCCCTTCCCAAACAGTCCTGTTTGCTGCTGATTAGGCTGAGGGATTTATAGGGAGAGGAGGGTGGTTTTTCCCTTCCCGCTAGCCAGGCAGGAGGGGAATGAGGAAGCAGCAAGGGTGTCTCTTTAGTCGACTAAATCCCACAGAACATGCCTATGTGAGACTGCTAAGCTCCTGATCAGTAATTACACACTGCAGCTCTGCCTTTAATCGGGATAGAAGACTTAAGGAAACTCCTTTGCCCCTGATCTGTACCTTTTACCTAGAGATTTTATTGCTGTGAATATTAGTAACAGAAACAACCGCAGGAGCTCAGCTCTGGGGCTCGTGCGGGCTCTGGGAGCTCCTGCAGCCTTTCCAGCTCCGTTCACCTCTGGTGCTGTTTCTATTTGAGCACTTATGTCATGCTGCCTTTAGAAAGAAGAAGAAAGCAGGGTGGTGTCTGGGCAGACACTGGAGTTGCGGTGGCTGGTTTCTCCCTTGAGGTCCTAATTCTGCAAGTGGCTGAGCTCTCGTGGCTGGTTGTTTGCAGCTTTGTTGGGCACGGCTCCAAGGAAGCAAGAGGTCAGGAGATAAGTGCTGCAAGCCCTGCTGTGATCCTGCCTCCTTATGCAGAAGGCTTCACCTTGGAGCCCGGGCTGAACAACGCCTTGGGAGCACGTGTGCACCGACAGCCCCATCACTGCTGGCCCCAGACACTGCGGTGCTTGGGGGGGTCACCTCCTGCCATGCAGAGCTTGGCCTGAGCCCCCCCCCTTCTTGGGAACCCACTGGGGTTTTGCAGATCAACGTGTAAAAATAATGAAGAAACAACCTGACCCATTGGTAGATGCAGAGCTGAGTGTCTGCCCATATGCGATGCTGAGCAAACAGGGAAGGTTCACAGAATTGGGAGTTTATTAATTTAGTTCTGAACCTTAGTCCACGTCAACAGATGTGGGCGAGGTTCCCTATGTCGGAGGGTTTGTTTGTCTTTCTCTAAGCTGGTGTGAGTTCCCAGATAACAGCATTTGCTGCTATGAAGTTGATGTAATTCCGAGTTAAGGTGGAAACTGTGTTGCAAACTGCTTTGGGAGGGGGGGAAAGCCAGGCTGTGTATTTTAGCCTCCTCTTTAATCAGATCTCATCTTCTTTTCTCTCTTTACAGAAACCAGGCAATGCGGAAAAAGTTAATTTTGTACTTTAAGAGGAGAAATCATGCGCGCAAACAGTGGGTGAGTGATTCCTTTAGACTGTATTTTATACGTATAAAGCCGTGTAATTTATTACATGAGAAAGAAAAGGATGATTTCCAGCAGAGAGGTGCTGGTGCTCGGTACTTTGCCTGTTGCATTGCTGTGGAATCTCTTCTGCTTAAAATAACATGGATGTGAAGTAGAGGTCCCTGATCCTGCTGCAGGCAGTGCCTCCCTCCGCAAGTGCCCCCCGCAGAGCAAACATGTGGGGTTGGCTTAATCACAGCGGAGCCCATCATTGATCTCAGAAAGCCTATTCACAGCATAAATGTCTATTTTGTGAGTAATTGAACCCTAAGAGAGGTGTGAAACAAGCTGACTCTGCTTCCGATAAATGGTCTGGAGGCTGCTCTGGCTCCTTCCAGCTGACCACAGAGCAATGTTCTAGGAATTTGTGGTTTAAAACAAAATCCAAGCTCTGCGCCAGTTTGTCTCTAGGTAGCTTTGCCCTCGAAAGAGTTTCGGTGTCCTTTAAGGACATGGGTCTTGGTTAGGTAAGGGGCAAGGTGGGAGTGATTATGGGGCTTCAAAGGCATTTGTTGCAGGTCCCCAGTAAACAGAGGAGAGGGTTCAAGTGGGTTTCACAGAATTTATACGTTTTTGGTGCTGACAGTTGTGGTCGTTGCTGGCAGGAGTTGGGAAGCAGAATCAGCACAGAAGGGTAAATGCCAGAACAGCCAACAGCCCCCACCAGGAAGGTGGATTTTGTGGTGGCTTTTGGTGATGGGTGATTCAGCTCGTGGTGCAGGGCTTCACATTACACGTGGAAGATGGAAACGCCACCTCCTGACTCGGTGTTTCTGTTCTGGGACAGGCTCAGGTGGTGGTGCTTGTGTTTTGTATTGCCAGTGGTGCAGGTTTTCTCAATGCCTTTGGGGTGGTTTTGGGCAGAAGTACTCCAACTTGGAGGAATTGTTGGAAAAATTCAAAGTAACAAGCCTGGAAAGTGGTTTGAAAGCTCTGGCTTTAAAAGTAGCTTTCAAGACAGGCATTTCTGAGCCAGTAATCGCATTATTTTCTTATTTATGGTGAATAAAGGCATGTTTCTTTTCTTTCCCATGCTTTGCTTTTTCCTCATTTTGTAGCAGTCTTCCAAAAGCCACAGATACTGCACTCCATAGGAATGATTGTGTCCAAATACATGTTCATTTAGACTTTTCCATGATAAAACTTCTTCCAGGTCTCTAGCAAGGGGTTACAGGGCTTATACCCTCAGCAGGATGTGGTGTGGCAGTTGGGTACTACTCAGGGCACCTCTCCTGGCACAGCTGAGGACTTCTCCGTGATGGGAAGCGGATCAATATTCCCTTCCTCCAAACAGGGATTGCAAAGCATCGTGCGGTTTTATTGGAATCAGGAGGGAAGCGCCTGAGAGCTGCTTTCTGGTGGAAACGGCCAGTTACTGTGCTAAACCTAGAGTGAGTTGCTCTGGGTGGATATCAAGGAGCTGGGGGAAAAGCCTTAATTAGGCTGCAAGAGCACAGTTCCTAAAATACGACTCGCAGTAAAGTCGCCTGTCATGCAAAATAGGTGAATTTCTGCCAGCCGGTTTATTCAGTGTCCTTGAAAGGGGATTTTTCAGTTTAGGGAAGCATTTTGCCTATTCTACAAAATAGGCAACATACGGTTGCTGAATTTGCAAAGTGAATACATTTGCTGATTCTGTTTGCAAAATGGGTATGCTTAGCTATTTTTCTGCCTATTTTGTAGCAGACCCTATTTTTAGCAAAGCCCATCTACGTGCCAGCATTTCTTTCTGGCTCTTTTACTTTCTGGGGTATTGTCGCTGCCTGGGGCCGGCTGGAGCAGGGTCAGAGCTCGGTCCCTGTAGGGTCCAGCCCTCACAGCCCCATCCCAGGGGATCTGCAGGGCTTCCTCCTGCCTCCACTGAGGTCAACACAGCAGAAGACTTTTAATTGCCATCGGGGTGATGCTGCAGAGAGGGAATGGTGAAGGGAGTTGTTCTGGGTGTGAGAGGTATATCTCCATCAGCCAAGGGAACAAAACCGTGGGGCTTGCATAGGAATTGGACTGGTTCCTCCTGTCACCTTCACTCTTCTCCTCCCCTCCAAAGAGCTGCTCCGTTCCCTGGAGCTGCGAGAGCGTGGGCTGCGGGAGGGCTCGGGCTTGGCACAGCCCACAAACTGCCTTCAGCTGCTACGGCGGCGTTACTATCCATCCATTTTTAGATACGCATGTCAGGTCCGATTTGGCTCGCTATCACTTACTGGTGTGATTGAGAGGCTGATGGGCTGGCGAGTCCAGCCGGGAAGGGGAGCAGAGGAAGCACCGATGCTAAAAGCCAGCACAGATGGTTGCTCAGGAATGGACTTGCTTGCTTAGGGCTGCTCAGAGGATGCTTCGAGAAGGAATAAATGCTTCTGTTCTGACCGGGAGCTTCTCCTGGTGATGGAGCTGTGAAGATCTGGGGAGTTCACAGTGCTGTAAGGTGCCTGAAATCTTTGCTTTTGAAGGATGCAAGTGATTGCAGGGAGTGAGTGTCCCAGCTGGAGCAAAAAGCGCTGGATGGGGATGCAGCGTCCCAGCCCTGCTGCAGAGGGGTTTGATGTTTGCATGGCAGGAAGGATCTCTCAGCTCTGTGATAGGAAGGGGCATCAAGGAAATGCTCAGATGGTCCATTGCAAAGCTATGCTCAGGAAGGCTGAGCTGTGAGGGGGGAGCTTTGGTGCTGCTGCCCTGCTGCCAAGGTGTGAGCTGCTGGGGATACAGCAGCGTGACGTGGATGCTGCTTTTTCCATCTGCAAATGCCAGTTCCTTAAAACAGGAACTGTGGATAAAGCTTTTGTCGAGTTGTTCCAAGGAGTGGAGGAAAAGGAGGAAGAAGAGCCACCCCACCGGCTGTGAAGCAGCCAGGGCCATGCCAGGTGGCTCTGCGGGACCCAGCACTGGCTCATTCCCACTGGGAATGACAAACCCTTCAAAGCCTCGAGGCTTCTCAGCAGACCAAGCCCTCGTGCTGGGCTCTCCCCCGGCCATGCCACAGGCTGGCACACAGCACCAGGCACCGGCTGCCTCCCAGTGCTGAGGCTTCATAAACTTTGCAGGGTATTTTTAGCCTCTTCCCAAATGCGATGCTCTGAAAGCAGGAGGATGTAGCAGATTTGCTGGCAGGGTGGGAGCTCTCATTTTCAGGGGGCTGATGGCATCGCTTTGGGAGGGGTGAAAGTGCAGCAGCTGTGATTTCTCCGAGCTGCCACGGGCTGTTGGTGTTACCTGTAGCTCCTCACCCACAGCACGAGATTCCCCATGTTGGCTTTTAGGGCATTTTAATTTTTGTTCTCATTCCTCACTTTCATCTTTTGACTGTTTCCTTTAGCTCCTGATGAAACCCAAGCATCTCCTGTGCATCCGTGCAGGGCAGGACAGTCTCTGGCTCCAGGCATGCAAAAGGGAATTGATTTATTTTCAGGGGAAAGTGTTAATCTGGCTCAGCTCCGGGGCTGGAGGTGCTTTGTCCGCCTCACATTATTGTTGATGTACCTCTAAAAGGCCACAAAGATCAAAGACATGCTGCTGTGCTTGAATTAGTGCCAGGTCCAGGATGGCTGGACCAAACCCACATGACGCTGGCTGCCAGTTGCTGTGGGTGCTTGACACCAGCGACAGGCTGTGGAGCTGCTGGTGCTTGGTGTCCACAGTACAACTGACCCAGCTTGGGGGGTAACCCAGCTGCCTCCTGACCTGGAATCAGGTGTTTCCATCAGTTTGGGGGTGTTTTTTACCTCTCTCAAGTTTTCTTGGCGGCCGAGAGCAAGCGGGGCGAGAGCAGAGTGCAGCAGGGAAATCTTGCAGCCTCAGACTTCCTTCCGGTTGTGGGGCAGTGGTGGCAAGAGATGAGTTTATTTCTTTGAAATCCGGACTCCCCACGACTCTGCTGTGGTGCCAGTGCAGTGCCGAGCTGCCCATTCTGGAAACCAGTGTCAGGGTTAGGAGCGACCCGGGGTTTGCCGTTAGAGCGACATCTGCTTTCACTTCCTGATTTGGGGCTTGGAAGGCATTTATCTGTCTCAAAATGAAACCTTAAATCCCCTCTGGTCACCCAGCTGCTCTCACATGAGGCTGGGCACCATCACTGCTGCCAGTGCAGCAGCTGTCAGGGACCAGATGGGCGTCTCCCCGGTATGGACCTCACCTGTCCGTGGGTGTTCTCCTCCAGCAGGAGCGTGTCCGGAAGAGGGAGGAGTGATTCGCGGGATGGAGGGTGGAAGGAGGCTCATTTGTGTTGCAAATCGTATTTCAAAGTTACCAGGCTGGTCCCATAAATACCTGGCAGAAGTGCAGTGCTGGACCTGGTGGGTGACTGGGTGGATGTGCCATGAGGATGTCACCGAGGGGGATATGGTGTGGAAACCCCTTGCAGTGCCACGTTTTGTTGGAGCCTGGGTTTGCTGTCAGTGGGGATGTACTCGTCCTGTTCCTGGGCCGAAAAGGAGGAGCATCAGCTGGAAAAATACTTTTGGTTTCTAGGGTGGTGTAGGAGCTGTGGGGCATCACGCTGTGGCCAGGCTACCACAATGTATGGCCTTGGACAGGAGCTGGGTGCCTGGCTCTTGGTTTTGGGGAGCCAGGGCCATGCCTGGAGCTGCCCCACGGCCCCAGTCCCATCAGCATTGCTGACACAGATCCGTGAGCGCCGGACATGTGTGTGTGTGTGGGAAGGAGTGCCCAGCCGTGGGCACCATGGCAAGCCTCTGCCCGGCATGGTTTGCTGGCAGCTCCAAAATTACTGCCCTTCACACCCTGTTTCCATAGTGGGGACCTGCTCTCCTGCCCACTGTGCCTCCTCCCAAGGCCAGGTTTCAGTCCCTTTTGGCTCAGTGGACTCAGGCAGGCACTGTGCTCTCTCCTGGTTCCCGGAGCAGGGGTCTCTCCCCAGCACAGGGGCTTTGGTTGCTGAATCAAGCACCTAATGCTCCGGAGGATGCTCAGGCAGAAGGTGTGGGGGGTGGGCAAAGTCATGCTGGATGAGAATCATGGTTCCACTAAAGATGTTGAGTCTGGAAGGGAAGAGCCTGAGGGTAACTGATGGCCTGTTTTGAGAATTCACCCTTGGGTTGGTCCCATACCCTGGAGCACATCCATGCCCTAATAAACTGTATTTCTTTAAGCAACATGACTCATTCTCAGCCTGAGCAGCCATCGAGGGCCAGGCCTGGAGGAGCTGCCCTTCCCAGGCACTTCTCTGAGATCCCTCTCTCCCTCTGCCCTTTCAGGAACAGAAGTTTTGCCAGCGCTATGACCAGCTGATGGAGGCCTGGGAAAAAAAAGTGGAGCGCATCGAAAATAACCCCCGGCGCCGTGCCAAAGAGAGCAAAGTGCGGGAATACTATGAGAAGCAATTCCCGGAGATCCGGAAGCAGCGGGAACTGCAAGAGCGCATGCAGAGGTTAGAGGAGAAGCGGTAGGAAGGGGCTGAGCTGGTATCAGACAGCCTTTCTTTTTTCTTTGGGAATGGGTGTGGGATTTGCTTGCGGGAGGAGTGGGCTGGGATGGTTGTCGGTCCCTTTTCTCCCTCTCTAGTCAAAGGCAGAAGCCAGCAGACGAGAAGCCTTGCTGCCTTTTCCCCAGGGTGGCTCAGCACAGAGCCAAAAGAAGGACAAATGTCAGGAATGTGACTGCCTGTCTCACCTCTGCTGCTGGTCTCCCAGCTGGCCATGTTGGAGCCAGGGGCAGCTCCCTCGTGCTGGCCGCCTGGCCAGGACAGCGCTAATTCCTGCCTTGCTGATGGGTCCAAATTCAGTTGTATGAGACTTGCAGATGCATTTGGTCGTTGATGATTTAATACATGCACATGCTTTGATGGGAACATGGGCAGGGAGAAGAAACATCTGCAGAAGCTATTGGAATGGCTGCAAATGATATGAAGGGAGTAAAATGTCACTGAAAGGGATGTCCCCTGTCTCTCCCAGCCCCTGTCCATTTTCCTCTCCTCATTGGAAGTGCAACTGAGGTCACATTGTTTATTGCCAGGAGGAGACACGATTTCATGATCTCCACCCTTTTTGCTGAAAACTCCCTGTCCTTCACATTTCAGCCCTGGGATCTTGCCCGGGGACACTTGATGTGTGCAGAATCCAAACTGACTGCCAGCATCCCATCCTTGTGCCCCATTAACAACTGGATGGGTCCAAACTTCCTAATTGATGGCTTTATTTTATCTTAAACAGAAAGGGAGAAATGGTACTGAGAAATGTTTTAATTTTTTACCTGCTTAATAAGAAAAGTTGTAATTCCTTGGGATGTGTAGCTGATAGTGGAAGTGGGGGGAAGATGTCAAAGGATGGGTTTGATTTAAAATTTCCTGGAGCATTTTCAAACCGGATGTGGTGGCACAGTGCTAATGGCTCGGTACTAACATTGACACCTTTGTGCCATTGCTGTGGTGGGATGAACAGGAGAAAATACAGGGGAGAGTGTGGTTGGGTGTGAAATGTGCTTATGTTCTAGCAATCCAGGAAGCTGGCACAGGTAAGGAAGGTGGTTTGAGTCTCTCGACTGTGAGCCCTAAACGCGGGCGCTGTTCCCACAGTGTGGGATGGGGTGGCCTGGGTGGAGTGTTGGGATATGGCTATTATGGAGGTCAAAGTTGTCTTGAATGTGGTTTGCTGCTTATGAAATGGAGCATCAGTGCCTGAGTGTGTCACTGCCCTTTCCCAGCAGGGTAGGACAGAGGGGCAGTGGTGGGCTCTCCATGTCAGCCGCACGCAGCGAGCACGAGGTGTCAGAAATCATCGACGGGCTCTCAGAACAAGAGGTGAGACCGGGTTATCTTTCCTTGTCCTCTTCACCCCTGTGTCTTCTCCAAGGAAACCTAGAGAGTACTGCCAGGTCCCATGGTGAAATTCAATGCCAAATCTAGGCCACATCAAGGTTGGGGAGGTTGCCATGATGCCTAACACACTTTCTGGACAGGATCCAAAGTTAGGTGTTCATTTAATATCCAGCAGCATCTTTCCAACCACGTGAGAGATGTAATGGAGCTGTGCAATGTTCTGCAGGAGCAAAACATGGAGCTGGTGGCCAGTGGGTCGGGTTTGTCAGCATTCGGCTGTCTCAGGGAAATCCCAGTGAGCTGCTTGTCCTGGGTAGCACCCCACAAACACCTCCTGGCTGTGGTTTATACTGGAAGCGGAGCTGGGAAGGGAAGGGAGCCGGCGCCCAGACTGCCGGGTGGAGGGGTTTTTCTGTTTCATTTTGTTTTGAATGGGCTGTGTGGCTTGACACAGGGGAATCCTATGGAATGAATGGTTTGTACGTGAGCCAGTTGGCCCACATCTTCTGGGAGTGCTCCATTCATCTTGAAACATCCCCGTGACCTCGGCTTCGTTTGGATCTGGTTTCACAAGGGTTCCACTCTCTTGGCACAGAGGCGAGCTGCAGTGAATAGATCATGTTTGGGAGGGGAGAGCAGCCATAGCTTGGATGTTTCTGCCTGCACACGATGGCTTGATCCCTGTCCGGGATCCCAGGCAGTTTGCTCTTAGCCAGTTAAGGCGACAACCTGGAGGACATGGATCTTGGAAGCAGAGGGAAATTTCACAGCTCTGCAGAGGTTTGTGGCCAAGGGGAACGTTAGCTCATCGCCTCCAACCTACTGCAGTGTGCTACTGAACTCCACCCCGATAGCCACCTGCTGAGCCCCAAATCACAGCTTCACTTGTCTCAGAGGAGACTTTAGGAGCTTCCAGCTCTTTCACAGGGTTGGAAGGAGCAGGGAGGTGAGAACTGGGGAGCATTGCTGGCAGCAGGGCCAGCTCTCTATCCCAGCACGTTGCTGGAGAGGAGAGTGGTCTGGCTGCTGGCTGATGGGGTGTATTGGCAGTGCTCAGCACCCCAGGACCCTGCCAGGCGAGGGGAGAGGCTCTGTGCCCTCAGCTGCAGGCAGTGCTCCTGCCAGCTGCCTCTCTGCTCTGCACAGGGGCTTCTCCTGTTGCCGTGGACAGCCTGTGGTTATCCGGATCAATGCTCTGGCTGCGAGCTGTCTCTGACCTCCCACCATGAGGTGACACCCCCAGGCATCTGGAGCAGCCGGTTGCTAAACAGGAGGTGTCCTAGGGAGGATGAGGAAGGTGATCAAATGTGTTGAAATGTCCATGTCTGTGTAGTGAGCTGCACTTTAGGAAGAGGAGGTGGGGTCTGATCAGGTGCAGTGGGGAAGCAGAGCGGTACCAGGCAGGCAGGGGTTGGCAGCTTGTTGGAAGGATCAGACATTATTGTTCTCCCAGGAACAAGCATCTGCCTGTAGAGTAAAACAAACAGCACTGGAGACCTGGCCTTCCTGGGTCAAGGGTGGAAGTTTGTTTAAGCAATGGCATTTCAAGTTGACAGGGAGGACTCAGGGTGATGGTGCAAATGAAAGAGGATGACCAGAACATCTCTTCATCCCTGCAGGGTGAACCTGTGCCAGGGAACCACCAGCTCTCAGCTGAAGGGACAGTCCCTGCATTCAGGCAGAGGATGGCACAAATGAGACGTCACAATGACCTGTCTAATTGCAAATACTTAAGGAAACCAGTGTGCCCAGTCTGTCCTGTCCTGGTGTGCAGCTGGGGCTCTGGATGAACTTTGTGTTCCATAGGATGGAGTAAAGGCATCAGGTTATGTCCCAGGGTGTTGCAGTAAGAGGAAAAAAAAAGGAATGACAGCCCCGTTATAGTGACATTTGAAACCTCCTGGAGCAATTCAGATTTCCTGTGGAAGGGAAAAATGATGTCTCCCTCTGCCCACCCTTTCAGGAAGCTTTGCAGAGCTGGCCCACTTCCTTTGCAGTTTGGGTGGGGGGATGAACCTCCACGTGGCCATAGGTTTGATGGCTGGGAAAGGGTCTGCATTCCCTGTGCCACCACTTGACTTATCTCTCATCATGGTCAGGAGCTGTTTTGCTTAAATCAGACATTTCCACACGGAATCTTAAAGCCTTTTATTCCAAAATGAAAGAATAATTGTTTCCTGGCTGACAGTGATTGCCTCTTTCAGTGTTTAATTTACAGTTACTCTAGCAATAAAGCTGTCTAGTGCTTGCTTTTGAATTCTCCTGTTCCTCCTCCTGTCCTTTTCCTCTTGAACATCTGTCCCCTGCAGTCCCTGCGGGCCCATGGTGCTGACCAACTGTTCTCTCTGCTTTCCCCAAAGAACCTGGAGAAGCAGATGCGCCAGCTCGCTGTCATCCCGCCCATGCTCTACGATGCTGACCAGCAGCGCATTAAATTCATCAACATGAACGGCCTCATGGATGACCCCATGAAGGTCTACAAGGACCGGCAGGTGATGAACATGTGGAGTGAACAGGAGAAGGAGACCTTCCGGGAAAAGTGAGTGCAGCCCACACACCTCTCTCAGTGCAGCCTTTAGGGAACGTGGACAGGATCCGTGCAGGGCTTTGGCTGGGCCCCCAGCACGCTAAGGCATGAATTTCCCAGGGGCTTATCTTGCACCCAGGGACACAGCTACAGTCCCTATGTTACATTGAACCTGAGCACAGGGTGATGGACCTGCACAGAAACCTCAGGCTGTATGGTTGGGGTGTTCGTGCCCCTGTGCTGAGCTGTGGGCAGCTGCTGCTTGCGACAGGGTGAGAATGGGAAGTTTTTCTGCTTTTGCATTCCCTGTTGTATCAGCCAGTTCAAGGATAACACCAATGAAACCAAACACTCCATACACATTACCTTTCTGTATTTACATGCTGTCCCTTGGGCACTGTGTGTCCAGGGGAATTCTCATGGCTGTCAATGTTCAACCCCCCTATGTGGACCCCCTCAGGCTGCAGCTTCCAGCTGGTGCCCGTCCCTCAGCGCTCCGTCCTGCTGTCTGCAGGATTTGCCACCGGCTGCTGTTTCCATGGATGCATTCCCACATCAGACACGTGCAGACACTGGCTGTGGTGTTTTCTACTGTTTGCAAGCAGTGCTTGGGAACAGCTTTGCTCTAGCAGCTGAGATCAGTTGGGTGATGACTGTTCCCTTCCCTGGGTACCACTGTGCTGTCAGCCAAGATGGGGGTCCCCAGCTCAGTCTCACATCCAGACTCCCCTGTATCTCATAGCCCTATGCCAGGCGTGTTTGCATGGAGGACTGGAGCAGCCTTTGTGCCCCCAGTGTGCTGTGTTTGTCTGTAAAAACAGAGCTGGAGTTCAGCTTCCGGCAGGATGAGCTCAGTTGCGGCTCCCTGCTGTGGACATGAGGGACATGGAGGTATGTGGGTGTGCCAGGGCCACCTTGTTCCTTGCAGCAGCACCACTTAGTCTGGCCTCCAGACTGTCGTGGGATGGCTCCGTGGATTACCAGCAGGCCCACAGCCAGCCAAGCTGGAAGCTTCTCTGTGTCCAGGATCCCTCCTCCTGTCCCTGCTTGTGACAACTCCCGTTTGCAGCTGAAATAATTAATTGCCAAGACGGACCGAAAAAGAACAAAACAAGCAAACCAGCTCCAAGCCTTTGCTAGAGGAGAATCCTCGTTGGTAATTAGCCTTAAAATGTGCCACTCCAAACAGCAAGGCTTGCCACAAATGACGCAAAGGCTAATTACTTGGTCTTTAATGGCAGGGCCGTGCCTGGCTAATGGGGCTGGAAGAATCCACACCCAGTGTGTGCATCCTGCTGTGCACGGTGGTTTCTGTGTCATCACTGTGGGTGATATAGAGCTTGAGGCATAAATACAGCAGGGTTTCAGGGCTCTCACAATGCTCATTTTGAGCAATTGGTACTCAGGAGCTGTAAGGAGGGTGCAGGGAGTCCTGCCCTGGCTCTCCCCCACCCTGGCGTGCAGGTAGCTGAGCTGCCTGCTGTGCTGCTGCTTCTAACCTGGGTTTTTAAGGTGAACCAGAGTTGTGTCATCCATGATTGTGACCCAGAGCTGGCCTCCTCCTGAGACCAGGAAAACCTGGAGCAACCTTTTGTTCAGCCCTGTTGGTGGGGGCTCTTGGAGTAAACAGCCAGGCACTGCAAGGCTGACAAATGCCAGGTCTGAACTATTTTAGCTGTCAGAACATAACCACGAGGAAGAGTCTGATTTGATTTGCTTCTGGGCAGAATTTCAGGTCTCTGTTGAAAGTCCATTGCTGGCCTACTCCAGGGAAGCTGTGGCTTGCTGGTGAAGAGCAGGGTGCTTCTCAGGCATTGAAGCCCTGTCGTGCTGCACACTGTGACAATGGAGCATCCATCTCTCATCATGGGGGCATATCCTGCCCCGTGAAAGAGAGTGGATTGTCACCTGCATTGCCCCTGACAGGGCTCCATGCCCTGATCCCAGGTTGTCTGAGCAGTCTGGCTGCTTTGCTTTTTTCCTTTTTTTTTTTTTCCCCTAGCATTTCTGGTTTCTTTTTTTCTCTGGTGACCACTTATGGTGACAGTGTTCTCATTGCAGTGCCACCCAAAACATATGGGGTCCTGCATAAGAAGGGCATCAGCATGTGGGTGACAGCACCCGCATCCTGCTGCCATGGCTGGAGTTGGTCAGGCCCTCACTGAGTTCAGTTTAGTGCCTTAACTCTGAGTTTGGCACTGGGACAGAGCAGCAAAGGTAGGAGAGAGCTCAGCCAGCTGCCCCAGGGGAGTCACTGGCAGGGCTGGAGACACCAAGGTGCTGGCCACATCCCGCCCATGTTACACCCACACCACAGCTCTCCCACCTTTTGCCTCCAGTCCACTTCCCCAGGGCACAGAGCCGTCAGCTCCTGGGAGCTTGCAGAGGTGCATGAGCTGAACGTGGCCGCTTGGCTCCCAGGGGCAAAGCCTGTGCTGGTGGCCTCTCCTCTGGGGCCAGTGCTGTGCTCCAGCCCTGGCACAAAGTCACTGCTCACCAGGCTCACCGTGCTTTGGTGATGCACCAGTTAACTGTGCTGCCAGCGGGACCACCTCGTGCCAAGGGCTTGCTGACCTGATTTGTTGGAAGAGCCATCTCTCTGCCTGGGGTCAGCTTCCCCTGAGCAGGCAGTGTTGGCTCCTGGGCTGCCAGAGCCACAGATGAGCCTGCTGACAGCTCCTCTACTTGCTGGGCACGAGGCAGTGTTCCTTGGAGCCACTGTGCCACGGGGGATCTCTTGAGCTACTCAGCAATGTGGCAGCTCTGTGCTTCCTCCTGGGGTTTGGGTTTCCCTTCCTGCCCTTTGCAGCTGCTCCCAACAGCCCAGCGGGGCTTGGGGTCCTGCTCAGTGGCAGGGCCACACACAGACATGATGTGGGGTGTGATGGCAATTCTTCTCCCTTTCCTTGCCAAATCCTGAGACCTTGGCCAAGTGTGCTGCTGCCCTCTGTGCTTGTCCTGCTGTTGGTGTGGGCTCGGGTGTCCATGGGATCGAGCAGGGTGATGAGCAGCTGTCAGGCACTTCTGGCCCCTCTTCCCATGATGAACATTCGCACATCGAAGCTCCCAACCAGCCCAGGTCCACTGGGCTAAATTTAAAGTTCCTGTCTTTCTGGGAAGCTGAGCAGCAGACAAATATTTTCTCAAACCCCGAAGTCCCTCAGGGATCTGTCCTTGCTGCTCCGGGCACGCAGGGCACGGCAGCCCAGCTGTGAGGGGGTTGGAACCAGCACCCAGACTAACCCTCTCCCTCTCACTCCACAGGTTCATGCAGCATCCGAAGAACTTCGGCCTGATCGCATCCTTTCTGGACAGGAAGGTAAGCCTCCCTGCCTGGCTTTAACCTGAATCATGCTGTCTCTCCCCCATCACTTGGCTCATGGTGCTGGAGCTGCCAGCAGTTGCTGGGCACCTGTGGGCGGTGGTGGCTCCGAGCCCCGGGCACGGTCCAGACGCCTCCCGGCTTCCTGCAGGGACGAGGGACTGAGTCAGCTGCGGAGAGACAGGGAGCTCGGAGCCGAGAGGTGTGAACGCAGCCAGCCTGGCGCGTGGGTGTCTCAGCCCACCCCGTGATCTGCCTGAGGAGCTGCTTTCCAGCATCTCCCGGAGGCATTTTGCACCAGCCAGGCTGTCACACAGGGGGTGGGCGCTCGGCTGCCCAGCACGAAGTGAAGGGGTCTCTTTGCTCAGGGAGAAGATCATGAGGGTGGGCTGAGTCCCATTTCATCCAACAGTTCGGGTGGGTGTCCTATAAGCACATACACCTCCCCTTGGTGTTTAGGAAGAGTTTGCTCACAGGACCTTTCCCAAGCCTCTGTGTTGTGCTGCTTGGAATTTTCTTTTACTGTTATTTGGGCTGATGAAGAAAGGTTTGAGAAAGAGATCTGGTGAAGAGCGAGTCTCTGGTCCCGTTCTAAGCAAGACCAGGTACCTTCTGTGGGACAGGCCATATGGGCAAATCCTAGACAGACCCAGCCTAGAAAGAGAGCGATATCCATCACCCAGATGCTCTCCTGAGCAGGAAACATTTGAGAGCTGCTGCTTTTCTGGTCCCTGTAGTTAGTTGCATCCTCTGCCCTTCTCATGCAGGGTGTCATCCATGAAGTGTCCCCTCACTCTGGGGGAACCCCTCTGCCCTTTAGAGGGTGGCCTTCAGAGGTCCTTTCTACCTTAAATTATTCTCTGCTTCTGCATGACTCAGGCTGGGGAAATAATTTATAAGGCCTTGACCTTCCTGTCCAAAGTAACAAGGAAGCAAAGGCCAGCAGCCACCTCGTGCTGCTGCTGCTGCTGTAAGATTCCGGGCTCTTCAGCCTTTCCCATTTGGTAAAGCCGAAAGCGGTGGGACTTGGATGATGTTCACAATCCAGTCTGTGTTCCAAGCTGTAAAATGTCTTCTAATTTTATTTGTACTCGTTTGTAAATCAGGCTGTAATTATGATACAGAACACATCCATTATCCTGTTGGAGAGAGATGCAAAGTATGGCTCAATGTAATGAATTAATAGATTTTTAAATTGCATTATAAAAAAATAGTGATCTTAGCCCTTGGAACAGATGACTGTAAGTTTTTGTGTTCGCGTGTGTGTGTATAATCAGAGCTAGTTTAGAAGGAGATCCAATTAACACTTTAAAAGTTGCAATCTGTTTTTGCAAATGGTTCCACTCCTTGCAGAGGGATGGGGCGAGCACAGCCCCCGGGCACCCCCGGGCGCACGCAGCTGCCCCCGGCTCCTGAGCACCTGTGGTGTGATGGGTCCGTGGGATTATTCCTGTTCATGCAGCCACTGATCCTGTATGTGAAGGTGTAGCCCAAGACCAGTATTCAGGTGTCCACCCGGTTCAGCAAAGGAGTTTTCCCAGCATGCTGGCACGCTCTGTGCTGTTCAGGAGCAGGATATGTCCTGGCCATGGTTCCTTGTTTTCCTAACACGTCCAATCTGTGATGGTGCTTGTGGAGCCAGCCATTGGAGCTGGAGTTGAGATGGCAGCTCCTAAACGCTGGGATCTCAATCTGTCCACGAGAAAGTCGTGGGCGCTCGAGCCAGCGAGCTTAATGGGTGGAAGTAACACCAGCTGACAGTCGCGTGGCAGGTTGTGCCTCGTGTAACCTCAACAGAGGGTGACAGGCAGCTCCTTCTTCTGCCTCTGGTTGCCACGGTCATCTGGGGTCAGCCCTTCCCCTGCTTTGTTTCCAACACGGGGTGCTCTCTGCTCAGCACCCCCTCTCTGTCTCTTCACACCTGCAGGACCACCCTGGTCTGTCCCTTGGAAGAGCTCAGCCTTTTTACTGGGACACAGTGCATGGCCCCACTCTTCCAGCTCTGGAGGCCTTTGGGAGGGAGGTGAAAGGAAGCTGTTGGGCTGAAGGTCTTCAGGATCAGCAGGAGACCCGGTGATGGCCGGGTCTGAATGCTGCTCCTGGAAGTCTGTGCCCCGACAGCGCAAGAGAACAGGACCTTCTGTTCCCTGACTTGCCCATGTCATTGCAGACGGTGGCTGACTGTGTCCTCTATTATTACCTGACCAAGAAGAATGAGAATTACAAGAACCTTGTAAGGAGGAATTACCGGCGGCGCGGGAAGAGCCAGGTAAGAGCTGGAGGAGCGCGTGGAAGCATCGTCGCTTGGCCTGAGCAAGGAGCTGTAGTGCTTTCTGTGAGCCCCCAGACGCTGCTTTTTCCCTCTCCCCACGTGGGGATCTTGCTTGCAGGCTGTGATGGGGCTGTGGTTGTGCTCTTGTAGCTTTTCAGAACATGCTTTTTTCTGGCAGTTGATGTTTGTCCATCCCTATGCCAAGGTCACGGTATCTTTAAAAAAGCAAACAAACCCAAGATGCTTAAAAAAGGGGATGGAGTGAATGCAGAAAACCTGGCTGCGTGTCAGGAGCACAGGGTTGGCCATGCAGCCTGGGCTCTGTGCAAGAACCAAGTGGGGCTCTCTCCTCTCTGGAGACAGCAGCTGTGGTGCCAATGACAGGGCTCCTGGGAGCTGGGTGAGGGGGTGCTCCTGCTTTGCAGAGCCTGCCCAAGGCTCTTCCTATAGGCAAAGGTGTGGGAGGAGAACGACTTGGGTGGCAGTGACTTTTGGTGACGCCTGAGCAGAGGCATATAAATCCATCTGGAGTGTGTGTGGTGTCCGAGATCCCTGTGGAGGTGTCCGAGATGCCTGTGGGGCTGGCTGATTTGGCACTGAAGCTAGAGGAGACCCTCAAGCCTTTGGTTAAGGGCAGAGCAGATACCAGGGCGCCACGAGGTGCCTGGGGGTAGGGGACTGAGTCAACCCTTGCCGTTACCATGGCCAAGATACAAATCTAGACGTGACCTTGACAGTGTTGCTGCTGATCCCACAGTAGCCAGGTACCCAGATAAGTGCTAACCTTTTGGGCAGGTGCCTTATCCCCGCAAATGCTTTCAGCCAGAGGCAGGTCCTGCTGGTGGATCCCCACATCCATGAAGTGAGTGATTATTCACGTAATGAGGAGAGTGAGGTGGCCACAAAGGGACTGTCTCCCCAGATAATGTGGAATAAGGATGGAAAAACTGGCCTGGTCCGTGCCACCACTGACATCAGCAGCTCCTCACGCTGCATGGCCATAAAAAGCAGCACTTGGGCCTAGATCCTGATTGGGAAGCAGATAGGTAGCCTCACTCCAATTTGATTTCTGCAGCATTAAGGCATCAGAATAGCTAGCACATGACGAATGTCATGGACGGGGCCCAATTTTCCCTTCTTTTTTTCAGAGACATTAGGGATGGATAAAGCCCTATTAGATTATCCAGTCCCTCTCCCAGCAAACACAGGGTGGTTCCCTCCAGTACATTTTTATAGTGTTTACCATGGTCTGTTTTGTTAGATCACAGCAACTAGAACATGAGGCCACATTTGTTTCTAGTTAGCGGTGGAGACATTTAGCACAGCTCATTCTGGTTTCAATGTTAAATTGAGCAAGTGTGGAGAGTGAGAGGCTTTTCTCTGCATCAGCCTACCTACCCCTGAGGCCAAAGGCTTGCCCATCCTGCACCCAGCAGGGACTATTTGTGTTTTGAGTTTTAAAATTATCCAAAGCATCGCTAGCTGCAGATTTCCCATGACGCTTTCCCTCACTTATGAGCCTGGTCCAGCCTGGGCAGTGGAGATTTGTGCTGCCCTTTGGAACCTCGTTCAGTGCCAGCCTTTGGAAGCAGGGACTTGCTTCATCGACCGTAGGAAAAGGCAGGACTGTTTTTGCAAGTAGGAATTGCACCGAAGGGAGCGACTGCACCTCCCCTGGAGCAGATCTCAGCCAGATTATTGATTTTGAAAGGGGAGTCCCCTTGAATTTTGGGGGGGGAGTGACGCAGTGCATATTCCCCATTACTGTTGGTTGCTCAGGTGGAAGGTGGGATATTCAGACAAGCTTTAAGAGCCACGGGCTGGCTGCATGATTCGCAGTAGGAGAGAGGTGCTAAGCAGCAGTTGCTGTATATAATCCAGCTGGGAGCAGCTCTTCCCCAGAGTTCTTGGTGGGTTTTGAGATGCACACTTTGTGCTGTGCTACCTCCAGTATTTGCATCCATTTCCTGCAAGGCTGCATGAGAGGAGCACTAGAAGAGCCTGTGTGCAGGCTTGGGAAGGGCACACTGCTGCACAGGCTGCGGGGGCAGCACAGCTGGGTCTGTGCTGCAGGGGGAGGCTGTGCTAGGGTGGGATTTCGTGGTAATGAAGGGAGGAATGTGTTGTTAAAAGTCCTGTCAGAAGCTGGTGGGAGCAGTGAAGCATCTTCATTGCACCCCTTCACAATCTCCCTTGAGCACTGTTCCCTTGGGAACTGCTTTCCCAGGCCAGGCTGGGTTGGCGCGCAGCCAACCAGCACAGGAGAGGTTAGATACTGGCAAGCCTGGAGGGCTGGGATGGAGGGATGCTCCTGGTGGGATTTTGCTTAGTGAGTCTTTTCAGAAGCAGCTGAAATTCTGCCTGTGTTGCAGAAGTTGTGCTCATTTGGGAGCAACCCATCCTGAAGGCTCAGCTGGCACATTGGCTGCCCATCCTCCTGCTTGTTCCCAGGGGTCCTGGATTGTTTATAACCCTGTGCAGGTCCCTCATCCTGTCTTCCATGTGGCCTGGTGAGGAGTGGGGACTGTGGCTGAGGAGCCTGCAGCTTTGGGCTGACCCAGCACCTGTAGCTCTGCCATTACTTGCCCAGTCTTAGGCACCAGAGATGGTGACAGGATGAAGGACAGGAGGGACGGAGGGACAGCACAGGGATGGGCAATGTGCAGGGAGGAGGCAGAGCCCTAGGCAGTCTTCCTGCTGCACTGGGACACATGGCACTGTGTTCCCAGCACGGCCTGTGCTCTGAGCATGGATTTCCCTGCTGGTAAGGGTTCCAGCAGTTAAACACCAAAAGCTGAGATTTAATTAATTTAGAGCAGGGGAGGAGAGGTTGGCTTTTGTATCAGATGAGAGGAGCGGATGAGGTTTGATACAAAGAGCATTTCAAGTGGCCCTATGCTGGTTTCTTCCTCCTTTTCTCATGGAGAGGTTGGTGGTCTTATTTGCTCTTGGAGGCTGTGGGGAGCTTGAGAGCTAAGGGGAGATAATTACACATAGAAATAAAGCTACTCTGCTGTCAGGACTATCTTTGTGGCCTGCTTATTAAAAGTCCATTAAAAAATAAGATTCCCACTGCTCCCTGGCTGATGGTCCCCTGGCAAGGGATATTCCTCATAAAGCTGCTACTTATTGTTAAAAATCTCCTGCCAAGAGCGGGGGCTTCACATGATTGCAGTTCCAGTTTGTCAGAAAAGGGAGCCACCCGCTCCAAGGCAGGGCTCGTGCTCCCGGCAGGCTGCCTTCCCCAGACTGAAGAGTGGAAGGTATCCACATCCAGTGGGTCACGATGCATAATATTAAGGCTCCTGAGATTAAGATATTTCTAAAATAATCCCCTGTCTTTGTGTATGGAAAAGGCAATTTAACCCTGCAAAGGGGGGAATTGATGGGAAGAGAAATAGCTTCCTTGTTGTCATTTCTCATTGGAAAGAAAGAAAAGAATTTGTGCCATGGTAAAAGAGTCTGATCCAATTGTCAGTGTGCAGTAATAAGCATAAATTTGCATGAACTTGTAATGAAAGGCTCTTGTGCGGATGTGTCACCTCAGGGTCTGTGGCAGTCGGTCTTCAGGATATTTTCAGAATGACTCTCTGTGAACCCCCCAAATTCTATAGCAGGGGCACCAAAATTGAAGCACCATGTGCTTTGCCCTTTGGGAAGCTGTCTTGCCAGGCTGTGGGAGCACAAGCATTGGGCTGAAACTGGGCTGGATGGAAGGTGACCCTACTTCAACATAATTATTCCGCTTGGAGCCTGAGGTTTTTATTCCAGAGTTAATTTGCTTTGATTTTGGAGTAGCGTTGCCCATGTGGTAGTGGAGTGGCCACAGCATGCCAGATATGCTTCCTACGGTGGTGCTGGTGAATTCCTGGGGGGAAAAACCATGGGGCTCCCACGCAATGCCGGGATGGGCAGGTGAGGGGCCATCCCGCCAGGCACAGCCGTCGATGCTCTCTGCAGTGTCGGGTCGGTCACAGCGGCGATGGGCGGCTGGAGGAGCCGCCTGCCCGCCCTGGGGATGACTCAGAGGGAGATGAAGTCATGGTGGACAGACACGGCCCGCCGGACGTGCCGTCATGCCGGTCCCCCTCGGCGCTGCTGTCAGACGGTGCTCACGTATTCCCTGGCGAAAGGGCCCTGTGTGTTAGCCTTGAAGCTTTCGAGGACTTGCTCCGTGGCACCCGGGGGACTGGAGCCGCCCAGACCCCCCTTCCTCCGCCGAGAGCGGTGCCAGAGCTGTGCTGGCAGGGCGGAGACCCACAGTGTGACCTGGCCGGGTGGCCAGCGCTGTCCCCTGCCAGGCCTGACAGCCTTTCCCAGGCCCACCCTCTTCCCTGCCCCCTGCCAAAACCCAAATTGAATTATCCATCCCACCGCTGTCCCGCCCTCCCCAAACACAAACCATTCCCCTCACCGACACGGATAAACAGCCCCAGCCCAGATTTGTATAAACAACCCGTTTACTTTTTTGGCAGAAGCGCATCCCAGCAGGGTCTGGCCAGGTTTGATATCTCGTGGGTCCTGCAACCTCAGGAAAAATCTGGCCAGGCAGGTTTCTCTGGCCATCAGCAGCCCTGTTGCAGGGGCTGGCAGGGCTCAGGCTTCCAAATAGTGCCTGCACCCTGTCCCCAATGCAGGAGCAGAGCTCCCACCATGCTCCAGCCTTGCCATGCCATCACCTCCCCTCCCTCCACAAGGATCAAGTCCAAAGCTCATCAAACTGCCTCTAACACTGCAAATTGTGCAAGTGCCCCTGCTTCAGTAACCACAGCAGCTAATGAGAGGAATGATGCTTGTTTCTGGGAAGCATTTGATCTTCATCAATCTGGGGAGTGGCTTCTTGTTAGTGACAAAGGGTTTGACAACTTCTCTTTCAGATGCAGGGAGATACTTGTCACAAAATCCTGGTGTAATAATACAGCACATCGTACATATGCAGCCCTGGATGTGGCCAGTAAAGTTTGTGTCACAAATACCAACAAATTGTTCCGCAGGCA